AAAAAAAAAAAAAAAAAAAAAAAAAAAAAAAAGCTCTTCGCTGGCAATAAACGTGCGTGCTGGGGAGAAATTTGCCGTCTCTGGAGTCCATATACTTCCTAGCGCACCTTTCCCCCGCTGTCTGCGGCCAGGCATGGATTAGGTGGATGCAGAGCGGTAAGCCTATCCTAGTTTTCAGAAAAAGCCCTTATGTGTAAAGAAGTAAATCTCATTTTGGACTGCTGACTTGATTAACAGGCAAATACAGTGAAACAAATCCGTTTCCTTGGATTCGAGCCAGTGAGTGAAATGCCTGAGGGCTGCCTGCGGCTGGCGTCTCCTAGTCAAGTAGTAGTGTACGGCTTCCCCTTCGGACTCTGGTAGCATCGATTGTCCTTCAGAAAAGATATAGCTGGCCTAGAGTTTGGGTTCAGGTTTGATGAAAAGGAAATTGTGTGTTCTGGAATGTTTCCTAACCCTTGCAGCATTGATCCTAAATTATCCGCTCTAGTTCAGATGAGTGCAGCAGGGTTGCGTACCGCCAGGGGTGATGCGCTCTCTATGGGTAGCCTATAGCATGCTCCAGGTGCCACCTCTTCGGGCGTTTCTTTTTGTGCCCGAGGCCACATCTCATCTGGATTAGTTGGCAGGGACTAGCGTGGGTCTGTCCTGAGCGCCTGGCGCCCGCTCCTTTGAGGAGAAGGGCAAGGGGGAAGCGCAGAAATGCAGTCCCGCCTGACCTCCACCGTGGGCCAGGGGATGCGAGCCTTCACAGAAATCAACCCGGAACTTTAGGAACAACCAGAACAATCTCGGCATTTATTAGGTGGTGCAGACTGCTCACCACTGTGAGAATCAAATCCTTAGATACTTAAAACGGTTTCACTGGTTTTAAAACTTATTTTTCAGTTTATGAACAGAAGTGTAATTACTGACAAAACTGTAATACAGCAGTGTACTTGACACTTGAAGTGTAATTACTTAAAACAGTAATACAGCAGTGTACTTGAGCATGTTTTAACATACAAGCTTAAGACAGTGAAAGAGTTTAATTTTTAAATTCACACTCCTCTGTCATGCTGAAGAGAAACCCTAGAACTTAAAACTTTAAATCCATTTTTCACTGAAAAGTACAATTTATTCAAAATTCATTTATTTGCACTTACATAAATTAGGCTAATTGATATGCACAGACAATGCAGATAGCTCTTGACAAATTAATACGTTTAGTGAAAATAATAAATTAAAAATAAGCCAGCAGCATTGTAAAACACAGTCATAGTCTAAAAAACCTTGTAAGAAAGAAACAAGTGATTTATTTGTGGTTCACATGGACTTTATGATTGAATTACCAGGTCAAATTGCTAATATGATTGTTCAAAACTGCTACAGTGGTTTAGAAAAATTAGTAGGTTGAAATTGCTGACTGTGCTATTTCACTTTCCTTGAGGTGGTAGCGGTCCCTAGTTTATTATTGTCTCTGGATTTGGTTCCTGCTTTGGTCAAGTTGTCCGTTTCTGAGCCTTTGATCACAAGTTAGGCAAACCATTTTTCCATCAAATAACTGACAAAGTCATGATGTGCTAATAAAGTTAGGATAAATTGCCCTTTTTAATTTTTTAAGTGTACTGAAATTTGCCGTTCTGTCCAAGAGGAAGAATTATGTATCACCATACATACAGCGGTGCATGATAGTTCATGACACTTTTAGAAATGTCCTTTATCTTAAATGGAGGAAACAAGGGAAATTTAGGCCTCAAGAGTTTTATGCTGCTACTCTGCTTCTCTCTTTTTCTTGCTGCTAATTGGATTAAAAGCCATTTTGGTTACTATGGCATCCCATGAGGAGATTACTGTCTGTGAAGATGAAGTAAGGTAAAAAATCAGAACTGTGGTATGAGCAGATTTGGAAAGATATCCGCAGTTCCAATGGTCACTTATGACTGTATCTAAACTTTAAAAATGAGTTAAATGAAAGGATATCTTGCCAGATCTTCTGCCCTATTGTGTTTGTGCGTGCAGAGTTGCATTTCTGAATGATGTAGATGATGTGTAGGAGAGAGATTACAGACAAATCTGTTAAAGCAGATAATAGCTGAACTCCTCATCCTGACTATTTTTGAAGTTTAAAAGGCTAAAACACTATCTTGGAGACCAATCAAAATACAGCCAAGAAATCCCAGAACTGTCCAGGAGCATCTGAATTCTAAGTATAAATTTGTAACCGTACTGTCACCTGAAATGGAAATTCTAGAGGTTAGATGTATATATATATATCTATATATATATATCTATATATATATATATCTTTGTATGGTGTTTGTCAAAGTGAGTCTGTTTAACTGTCTATTTATATTTGGTGATACTTGAATGTTTGAAAACCATGAAAATAGAAGCAGTTCTGTAACCTTGTTCTTGGAAGTCTCATTTTTTATTTGTAAAAAGCGGTTTGCCCTGAAGCAGTAGAGCTTTGAACTATAGACATCAGTAATTGAACTCTTTCAACACCAGTTAACTTACTTTGTTGGTGTTTCCATAGGTCTCGGTACAGCTACTTGGAGAAGATGACAGATTTGGTGGCTGTGTGGGAAGTAGCTTTAAGTGATGGTGTTCATAAGATTGAATTTGAACATGGGACCACTTCAGGAAAACGTGTTGTCTATGTTGATGGAAAGGTGATATTGCTATGTGCTCAAAATTCACTATGATACTGATTATATAAGTGCACTGCCATGCAACAAGCATCAGAACAAACAAAAGACTAATAAATGCAAGTGAGGTATATTCAGTTGATTAACTTTACCTAATTTAATAAACTGCATCGTTCTTTTTTTTTCAGTTACAGTTAAGGTGTGAACATTCATGAAGTGCTTTGCTGTCCTTGGACAGAGGCACTCTAGACATACCGAATACTGTGTATTCGTTCATTCTGAAATAATAGTTAAGTACTGAGCTGTTTCCAGAGTTCTAGTGCAATTTTTTTTTTATACTAAAACGGGCATTCGAGTTGACAATTAATACCCTTTTTTGTTTTGTTTTGTTTTATTCTATAGGAAGAAATAAGAAAAGAATGGATGTTTAAATTAGTGGGTAAAGAAACATTCCCTGTTGGAGTGTCCAAAACAAAAGCTACTATTAACATTGATGCTGTCAGTGGCTTTGCATATGAATATACTTTGGAGATCAATGGAAAGAGCCTCAAGAAGTATATGGAGAACAGATCAAAAACAACCAATACTTGGGTACTGAGCTTGGGTGGTACAGACTATAGAGTTGTTCTAGGTAAGTAAACATTGAGTGACTGTATGTTGCTGCCTTTGAATAAGATTGCATGCATTTAATAATTGGTAATTAAGATTGTGCATGGCTAGCACTGATGCAGAGTAAAATCCTGGGTGGTCTGGAGTTTGGAATTAGATGCCAAAAGACAGCCTGAAAAATAGTAGTCTTGTTACACCTGTGTGAGCCTGCTGTCAGTGTTCTGTTCTACAGCAGCATGGTCTAGATTTTAAAAAAGAAAAAAAGTTTTAAAAGGTTGGAAGGACTTATGGCTTCTGTATCCCTAGAGCTGCCCTAGCAAGACAGTTGTCCAGGTGATAGCAGTGTTATCTGCGTTGTGATCAAACCTACTATGTGTGTGTAAGTTTGTTATCCAGGTAACCAGGCTTTCTTTCCAAAAATCATAAGCCAGAGCCAAGGGGTCTTTAACTGAAGAAGCGCAACAATGTTAGATTCTACCTTTTTGATATATTAACCAGCATCCTTTTTTTTGCATCACTTCTTAACTACAAATTGAATGTAAAAACTTCAGATGAAGGCAATACATCTCTTCTGCCCCTCTTTCCTAAATACATTACAATCAGATGGGAGTGTTGGCTAAAAGCCATCAGAGGACCTCTAAGACTTTGTTTTGGAGGAAAAAAAATTGTTAGCAAGATGTTTTGGCTTACAGGAGGAAGGGATACCCTGAGGAATTTGTCTATGACATCTAGTGGGAAAACTTCCACCTAGGTATTGCTGTATGGTTAGACCTGGAAACAAGAAATCTTGGGTTATGATTTCTTCTTAAGCCTCAGGACAGAATGAACTGCCCTAAGATGAAGGGAGGTGGGGAAGAAAGACAGTTTTAATGCCAGAAACAGATTGGTTTCCTCACAGACTTATCTCCTCATGCTTACTTAAAGGCAAGCAGTGTTTGGCTCTCTACTGATGTCCTGTGAATGACAGTGTTGGTAATGTGAATTCTAGAGCAAAGTAATTTAATGAAGATGTGCTGAGAGAAGGAAAAGAATATTTTGTTTCAAATGAAAAAAATCTAAGATTGATTTTTTAAGGGGTACTTGGGTTTTCAAGGAAACTAAGAATACAAACAGTTTGATGGATGTTAAATAAGGCTGCTTTTGAATTAAACTGACCTGGGAAAAATGTTAGAGCTTCACTGAATAAACAGTGCCAAAATAATTAGCAGAAATTACTTCATTTTTCTGTCCTCAAGTTTTTCAGTTTAAAAATGTCAGAATCTCTCTGACAATATTCAGAACAACCCAGTGTCAATAGCCAGGGGTAGGCAGAGGTAAAATTGTATGTTCATAGCAAAAGCTGTTTGCCCGTTGATGACAGAGCCTCCCATCTCTCTAATATAAGAATAAACCCTGTAGCTCAGGTACTATGGCTAATTAGGAACTTCTTTGGGGAACAGAAAGTAAAATTCAGCAGTAAATTTTAAAAATTCCTAGATCTTCTTGTCTGTAGTGGGACAAAAATATCTTGTTCTACTTTTTGTTTTCTTTCTCCTTCATAGAAAAGGACACTATGGATGTGTGGTGCAACGGTCAAAAAATGGAAACAGCGGTACGTGATCATTTGCGAAGGCTTTTCACAGGCTGTGGCTAGATAACCAAAGCTTAGTGAGAGAAGCCGCAGGGGGGCACGTTACCTCACTTTGCTTAGAGTATGAGTGCACGCCTAGACAGCCAGTGTGTATGTCTGTTCTCAGTGTCCTGCACTGTATTTTATAACTGACAGTATTTCGGTTGGGATGCCAAACGTCTATCTAGTTAAGGACAAACAGTGTTTTTGTTTACACTTTTTAGACAAGCAAAATAGGCCTTCTTGGTCCCTTGTCTGGGGTTTTTAGGGAGAATACTTTCAGGGGAGTGGGAGGGACTTGAGTTTGATGAAGAGTGTGGAGCCACCTCATCGAAACGTGCTCATGTTAGTGGTGACTAAAAGTTGAACACATGTCGTCTGTTATGCCCCATGATTCTTTTCCCATCTAGAGATGGTCCCTAACACTTGGGGCTTAAGAGTCTCGTTGGAACATATCAAATATTTTGTCTTTGTCACATCTGCATTAATTTTTAGAGCAGGTTGACAGCTAGAACGCTTAATCTATTTGGTGTCTTTTTATATTATGATGGCTTTCAATATACATACTGTGTAGGCTTCCCCATCCTTGAAGGATGTGCTTTCTCCTCAGAGTTGTCACTGTGATTACTACTGCCACAAGTAAACCCCTGGATGAGTACAAGTTATAAAATCAACAGTTTTGCTACACTTGAGAATAGAATGAAAAGATTTCACCAAATGTTTCTTTGGTAATCAGTGGAAGAAACATCCTCCCTCAGTGAATCCAAACTTCTGCTCCTCATGGTTCTTAGCCTTTTCTATAATATAATAAATGCACTAGGAGATATTCTTACAAGCTACAAGAACAGGTTTAGTTGTCACACTGCTTGCATTAGAGCTGCACACAGGTTTTTCTCCTCTCCTGAAGATGATGACAAAACCAGTCATGTATGGCAAAATCTGTAACAGGAAATTATGTAACTGCAGCAGGGGCTGTGTATCCAAAATACACAGCTGTTAATTCAGGGATCTCTTTGTCCTGCTGTAGAAGGCACCACTAAGTACTTCACGTTTTACTGCCACTTCATTATAGGTTTGTGTGGTACTTCCTGGCTGTACTGCGCAGCTCGGAAGGAAGCTGTCTCTTCTAGTTTTGTTTTACTGACACAGCTCAACGATATTGATTCACAAACTCCAACTTCACCGTTTCTGATTATGTGAAATATTGTCATCTCATACCCACAAATCTTTAACTGGATGCCTTGACAAAGCGCTGTCTGAGATGCTGCAAGTTTGTGCAGCATTTGGACTGTGCTTGTTGCAGGTACCTATGGCTGTTCCAATTGTGGGAACTACGAGTGATCTCAACCGCGGAAACAGTCTGATATACTCAAGCCTTTCTCTTACTAAAACAGCACATATTCTTGTCTCCCTTCTTTCTCCCAGGGTGAATTTGTAGAAGATGGGACTGAAACTCACTTCAGTGTTGGTGATCACAGCTGTTGCATTAAGGCTGTCAGCAGTGGAAAACGGAAGGAAGGAATTATTCATACCCTTATTGTTGATGACAGAGAAATCCCAGAGGCTGTGGAGTAGCTGCTAGTTAACTGATTATTGTAGGACAAAGATCAGGAATTTTCAATTACTGTGGTAATTATTTTAATATGGACTACTTGGTACATTTAGTTTGTGCTGGGTTTATTTTCTAGTTTCTTCATATGGAATTATTCTTTTTGAGGACCAGATGAAAATAACTACACATAACCTCTTACATTACCCTTTTTTAAAAAAATATATATATTCTATCACTAAGTGCAGAGAACACTGGTGAACTTAAGCAGAAATTATATACTAGAAAAAATCTTGCTAAAATAAAATGGAAGATAAATATTCAGTAAGACTGAATCCTTATAAACTGCAGGTGTATGTGGAGGGAGGAGGAAGTATGTTCTGGGCATCTGAGTAAGCTGTTAAAGTCTTCTCAATAATTATTTTTTTTATTAAACTGACTACCCAAGTTTTTCAGATGCAGTTAAGAGGAGTTACAAAGCTAATGAAAAGGTTATTAATGAAATACATTGTTACTAGTACTTGTGTAACAGTATTAAAATATATGAGCTATGAAAACTCTTCTTTATTCCAAGTAGGAGAAAAGTTATTACATTGTGCCAAAAAAAAAAAAAAGATCCATACAGTTTTCTGGAAACTGATACGTGTTAGAAATTGTTGCAGTAGTTCACAAACTGTACAGAGTTTTTTCAAAAAAGAAAACAGGAAAAAAAAATTCCTGCCATGAAAATGAAACCTCTTGAAGCAAGCTGAAATAAGAGCTTATTTTTGTTCAGTGCTGTCTAACAAATCTTAAATCTACGGCTGTGTGTTTTCCTGGTAGTAATGTGTGAATCAAGAAAAACGAGAAAAAATGGGACAAAAATAAAGGAACAGAAATAATTCATTGCTTAAATGGAGAAGTTAAAATAGGAGTAGACTATTTCTGTTTTCAAACTTCCAACACACTAACTAAAAGCAACCTTGGGATTTCTGTGAGAACAAGACTCATACGTGTTAGATGGTTCTTACAAGTTCATGGGGGTTTTGCCCATTTAATATTATACTAGAGCATACTAGCTACTCTTTTGCAACAATGTAGACATAGCTACATAATTTTAAAAAACCCAAACAAAATATTAATATAATAATTTAAAAGCTTGTTTTGCAATGGTTAAAAGTAGTTTTCCACTTGCAACCTCACTTAATTCAGAATTAGACTTATAACTAACTTAGTTTCTTTTGGACTTGCGAGTGGTTCCTGGCACTATGACTACTATGTTGGGAGTTGTAGGTGCAGTACAAATGTGCTGAGAATTCATTAACAACTTATTTTGAAAAGTTTTATTAATCACTAATTTTATCAACGTTTTAGGGTTCCAGCTGCTCTCCATTAGCACAGTGCTTTACATGTGGATTAAATGCTTTTCATATGACAACATCACTGGCTTTTTAATAGTTTTATTCGAGCCCTTCTTCTCCCCAGATAATTACAGTTTTAACCATAGGTGAGTTTTCAGTCTATAAGCAGACCTGATATGGACAGACAAGCCTTTATTTCTGTGTTACAGTACTGTTATAAGCCATTTGGGTGTTTAGTTAGGGCCATAACTGATGGTTTTAAATGCTTCAGATTGGACAAATCTGGTAGTACCTTTTTACTTGGGGCAATAGATTTGTTTTAAACCCTGCTAATGTCAGACATTGTTTCAAGCTTCAGTACAGAAAGTTTCAAAGTATGTGAGAGCTGGACTGAATCCCCTTTTACACTGATATAATAGCTCTTAGGCTTTTCTATCTACTGGCTTCAGGTCACACAGAAGCAACATGGGGATACCTAACTACAAGGCTGACACTGTAATCTTTAACAGATATTGGTAAAGGCGGATTATTTGAAGAGCAGTTTCAAGCTGTAGCTTGAACTAGTTCTTTACTATTTTGTAGCCTTTAAAAGAGATCGAACACACTGAGAAATCTGAAGCTCAAATACAGTCCAAGTCACATTCTTAAGTCTATATGGAAAAATAACAGGTTAACAGTGTCACTCAAACTTTTTATTTTGAATACATGTATCTACAAAGCTTGGAATATCTTAACTAATAGAAACTTCTGACAGCAAATACTGTTGTAAATCATGAAGCTTTGCCTCACATTTGTCATAACTGTGTATTTAATAGCACGTCCCTAAGTGGGAAACAGCATTCACCTGATACGTTGACCTATTTAAGTCAAAAGAAGATTTAACAATCAAACAACCAAGCTTTCTTGGGTTTTGCTAACATATGCAAGATTTCAGATCAAGAAAATGCAATGGAAGAATGACAGCCTACGCAAGCATCAAGTGTATAGTCACATGCTCTGAACACTTTAAGGCATAAAGGAATGTTTATAGATTGAACATTTAACAGATTAATGTTAAACTGTATTTTGTGATGCTTTCCCTTCTCTTTCCACTCACAGATTGTTTCATTCTAATCTCCTTAAGGTACTGACTGATTTTTTGTGTTCACTTTGCAGGAGGCACTTTGATCACAGCATGTTACTAGGTAGAGCATCCTCTTAAAATAAGTACTAAACTTTGTTCTGAGGGGGTCCTCACAATAGCTACAGGTCTGATTAATTCTCACTCTGGATGCTGCTGGTTTCCTCAGAGGGCCACATACTTTTCCCTCACTGGGGAACAAGTCAACAAATATTCTGGAAGTGCCCCAACACTGTTGAAAATGACAAAGGTTTCAGGATTGTTTATATCATCTACTAAACTGTCATATAGTTTAGTGGCATCCCCCTTCACTGTTGGTGGAATAATATAACACAGCTTGCCTTTAGTGTATAAGCCTGTTACTACATCAGCCTCAAACACATACATTTTAGAGTCTGTTTTCCGTGTATCGTTATCCTCAATCAGGCTTTTTGCGTTTCTTTTAAAGTAGATGCCAGCTCCATATTTTTGTTCTGGAAAAAGACAGAAAAATTTTCAGAAGAAGAAATAAAGGCCTTTAACAATTGGTTCTTTTGGGGTGGTAGAACTAAGACACTGCTTCTTGATTCAGTATGACATTTTATGTTACTGGGCAATGTGTGCCATCCTTTGGGATGTGGATTTGGCTCCAATGCCAGTGCTGACCTCCCACTGACATCAGGAGCAATGACAGCCAGTGGCCATTCCCATTCAACTGCTACTCCAGTGGTGACGAGATTTAACTGTTAATCCAATGATAGAAACATCAAGGTATAACATATTTATATAAACATTTCAGTCATCATGTACTAGGGACTCTGATAAACACCAAAGAAGGTAAGATTTTAACAATGCAAACTACAAAAAACCCCTTTGAGATTTATAAGGAGAATGCTGCATAAAAATGCTATTACAGTATCGTGTAGGAAAGTGCAAAGAAATTAAGTTAGACCATCATCCTATTTATTCCTTTGAGAGTGTAATGTACATTGCATAGACAAGGCAAATCTCCACTTTTTGAACAGTTTATTGCCTGAAATCCCAATGTGGCATTTGACAAGGCAAATATGCCCTTCATCTAAATGCTTAATTCTTTCAATTTCTGAAAACATCTGTCTACTACACTGTCTAATACAGTATTTCATAGACACCACAACTTTCTTCCTCAGTGTACTCAAGTTGGAATGGCCGTCTGCTCGATCAGGTTATCTGCTGCCTCCGATCACACCTGATCTGAGCGGGGAGCTAGGCTAGATGACCTTCAGAAGTACCTTCCAGCCTGTTATTCCGTGATTCCCTCAAACATGTTTCAAAGCATCAAGCTGCTGAATGCATGTGCACAGCAAGTAAAAAAGGACATTGACTTTCCTTAACAAGGGACACAACAAAATAAAAACTTGGACATGGCGTTATGTGTGTATTAACAATTCTGTGAATGGTGGCTGGGCTAGGCCAGAATCCAGGCTTATCCTCCCAGAGCCTTATGACTACAGCATCAGAAAGGGAAAACTGGAAAATCTCACTTAAGATAAAAAAAGTAAGCTCGTAAGACTAAATGCAGGTAAGAAACAGTTCTTGTTTAGGAATGCCATTTTTCTGATTTTAATACAACTTTTGTAGTCAGTTCATTTTGATTAAAGATGTCAAAGCAAGTTATTACCTGTTGGAGGAGAGTACATCCTGTGAAATCCAGACCGGCATACCGAGCTACAGAACTGAGCAGGAACACACTGGTACAACCTGTGGGTTATTTTGGACGTACATTGGTTTTCTTCTACTTTTGTTTTCATTCGTTCGAATGCAGCAGATAAAAGAGGATTATGTATCTTTTCAATCTGTAACATAAGTAATAATGTAGTATAAGCAAAGGGAGACCAATATCCATAAAATCCATGAGTGGTCTTGTTCAGGCTATCTTGTAAGAACCTTTGATTTAGTTTACATGCATCAACCACACAGTGAATATGGTATCTGAGGTGTGCAACTGATCCATAGAAAAAGAACCATTCCACTATCCCATCCCTCTCATTGCAGGGACAGGGAAGGGATCTCAGCCCTGTACTCGGCTCTGGTGAGGCCGCACCTCGATTCCTCTGTTCAGTTTTGGGCCCCTCACTACAAAAAGGACATTGAATGACTCGAGCGTGTCCAGAGAAGGGCAACAGAGCTGGTGCAGGGTCTGGAGCACAGGTCGTACGGGGAGCGGCTGAGGGAACTGGGGGGGTTTAGTCTGGAGAAGAGGAGGCTGAAGGGAGACCTCATCGCCCTCTACAGCTCCCTGAAAGGAGGGTGCAGAGAGCTGGGGATGAGCCTCTTTAACCAAGTAATAAGCGACAGGACAAGAGGGAATGGCCTCAAGCTACACCAGGGAAGGTTTAGACTGGATATTAGGAAGTATTTCTTTCCAGAAGGGGTTGTTGGACGTTGCAATGGGCTGCCCAGGAGGTGGTGGAGTCCCCATCCCTGGAGGTGTTTAGGAGTCAGGTTGACATAGTGCTGAGGGATCTGGTGGAGTTGGGAATGGTCAGTGTGAGGTTAATGGTTGGATTGGATGATCTTCAGGGTCCTTTCCAACCTTGATGATTCTGTGATGCTGTGAAATCAGTGCAAATATATCCTTGTGTACCGATTTCCAGTACCTGAGTTGTGCTGAACAGATTCAGTATTGACCATACGTGAGAATAAGGTGTGTGGGTGCTTACAGCCTAATCTTGTAAAGAACTGCCAGTGTCCTGTAAGTTGTGGAGAACCTTGGCTCTTGTTCATCAAAACTTCACAACTCTCAAGAGGGGGAAATAAAGGTCGACAGAAAAGAGGGCCTTTATGTTATCTCGTGTCTCAAAAGTGTGGCTGCATGCAGCATAACGCGACGCAGAGCTTGAGGTGAATTGCCTACGCTGCAGCTCTTGCTGGTGTACCTGGACTCCACCAGCAGGCCGGTCACAGCCCTACAGCTAAAGTCAGCCCCGGGGGCTTACAAGGCCTCTTCTCCAGCAGCCCGCTCAGGCCAGGCTTCTGACTGCTCAGCAGGTGCTGAAGCACGATCCAGCTTCTGCTCTTAAAAGTCATTTAAGTAAGCTATGACCGATCCTCAGGGCAGCATTGTTTTAAATTCTGATGTAGCTTTTGCACTGAGACTCAAAATCTTTAGTTCTGCAGATCAGGCAGCGCTTGCTTTCACTTGGTTGGTATTTGCTATTACTTCAGTGTCAAATACCTTTCTTGTATGAAAGGCAGTTTGCCACGTGGCAGTCTGGTTTCCACTTACCCACTGTTACTACTGGCACACAAATCCCTCTTTACAAACTTCTGCATTTCTGTGTCGCACGGCCTCATCCTCCTCCCACTCAGTAAAGCACTGATATCCAGGCAAGATCCCAGCTTCAACACAATACTAAGCAGATCATAACTGACAAATTCAGCTGCTAATTTTTGGTGTCAAGCTCACAAGAAAAGAGGCACTGCATTAGGGGCCTGGAATATTGTACTCATTCTAGCATACCATAGTCTCCTATTTCTCTAGAGTCCCATAAAGGAACATTTGAAGCATGAACTATGTGTTGGTTTAAGCCCTGCCAGGACCGGAGAGCACGTTGCTGTTGCCCCTCCCCTACCTGCAGCCAGTCGGGCTGGAAGTAAGGCACAAACCCGGGCTAAAATAAGAAGAAATTTAGTACAACAGTGTGATAAACAATCTGAACAACAACAGTAGCAATGATAACAACAATAAACAGCAATAACAGTGAACAAGACCAACGATATACAGAGAAAAAAAGCCAAAGAGAAAGTAAAATCAAAGTTTCCCGCCCCTGGACCTGACATCAGCATGGTATGAATAACCCGGCTGGAGATCCCTTCCCCCTCTCTCTCTGCTGGGGAAACTTAACCCTATCCTAGTTGAACCAGGACAACTAAGAGACAGAATATATAGTTGTCCTGGTTCAGCTAGGATAGGGTTAAGTTTCCCCAGCAAAGAGGGGGAAGGGATCTCCAGCTGACGTCAGGTCTGGGTGCAGGAACTTTTTCCTTTGTGGCTTTGGTCATGGGGAGCACGGGGCTGTCTGTAACCATTGCGGTATTTGTATATCTTTTGACTTGTTTACTGTTATTGCTGTTTATTGTTGTTATCATTGCTACTGTTGTTGTTCAGATTGCTTATTACACTGTTGTATTAAATTTCTTCTTATTTTAACCCAGGGTTTGTGCCTCACTGCCAGCCCGACCGGCTGCGGGTGGGGGAGGGGCAACGGCAATGTGGTCTCTGGTCCCAGTAGGGCTTAAAACCATCACACTAGTACAATTAAAAGAACTTCTCAGAATTTAACCACACTTTCTGAGTGATTATTTGCATTATGTTTAAAATACTTTTTTATTAGGAGTAAAGACCACATCTATTTTTAGGATTAGGCTGATTTGATCTTCATTTTTTGTTGTAATTGAAATAGTTCATCTGACGTTTTTAAGCATATGTTAAACATGTTAGTTCAAATATATCAGCTGATACTTAGTTTTTCCATGCATACCCTCTTTACCTTGAGAATGTGAAGCCCAGCTCTTTCAAACTGTTTCTGTCTGTCTTTAAACTCCTGAAGGTGTGATTCCACCGGTGAGATTTCAACGCATATAGTAGTATTTGTCTTGTGAAGGTGTCCTTCTGAAAGCTGACCTGCTTCTGGATGGCCTGGATACAAATAAGGGAGTAAAATTTTAATATATTATAATATGTGAAGCAAAGGCAAGGAGGACGAATCCAGTACTTTAGTTTGGTAGTTTATTTAAGAACAAAGAACATTAAATATTATTTGAAGTAATTCCAGTGGCTAATATTAAGAGGGACTGAGATAGATAGATAGATAGATAGATAGATAGATAGATAGATGTTGCTTCATATTTGACCTTATTTAGGTACTTATTGACTTAATTAGTCACTTATTTACTTTACATACCCATTAAGTACAGCAGTTCCTCTTGTTTGGCTGTACTCTTCTCTTGCATACGAAGCAGTAATTTTTCAGCCATAAGCACGGCATCAATCACAGCATCAGGAGGGCCCTGAAATTCCAGTCTTGCTTTTCCACCTCTCACTTCTTCTGATATACTTACACTAGAATGCTGCTTTCGAGAAAGTTCTGCGAACTCGTTTTTACCAAGGCTAAAAATGTAGTTGTTTTCAATAATAGCATGGTGACTTTCCCGAATTTGTACCACACTTTGGATCCACGATTCTGCTGCTTCCAATGCTGTACGTGTGGTCCCTTCAAGTGTAATAGCTGGTTCACTATTTGTGGTCTCATTTATGCTTTGACTGCCTGACTCTGTACCTGGAAGAAAGATTTTTTTTTAAAATACAAGTGTATTGGAAGAGTGAAGAGCTTTCAAGTGCTGCCACAAATTCCTATACGTAATTCAAGATGCACAGGGCAAGAAACACCCTACTCTTCTAATATGGTCAGAAGAAAAAAAGAGATTAGATACCAGGAGGTAAGGTTTCCAGGAAAGAAAACCCCACACACAAGCAGAATTTATTTGCCTTCCGCTAAATGACAAGTTAGGCACTGCTGATGATTTTTATGTTTGAAAAATCTTATAAGGGACTGCCCAGTTCCATTCCTATTAAAGTAAAAATGTCAAGCACTGACATATTTTTGCCTTCCCCTTTCCCCAATATACATACACAAATACTAAGTTCTTTTTAAAGGAATGTTATTTCAGATTCTCAAATCTGGAGTGCTCTTGAGGTGCCCCTTCTGTTCATTACTTACTCAAATAATCACTTCCACTGTAGTGTTGCTCTTTTTCCTGTTTGTGTGCTGCTAAATAAATTTTTCTCTGGAAAACCTTGAAAAAGAAAAGTTTAGGAGCAGTTTTCAATCTCTGTTGTCAAATATGCAATTAGTCTCTTCAAATCTCTGTTAATAAGCAGTTTACAGCTGTAGTTACACCACACACACCCCTAAATTCTGAAGCTGTTAACAGCTGACATTTGTCAGCTTTTCCCAGAATTTTACTCCTGATAATATCAAATGCATTCCTGTTCTACGTATCCTAAGGTAAGACACCTTATACACTGAATGGCACTTTTACCAACTCCTGGTGCATATGACATACCCAGAACTCAGGGAACCACAGTAGATAAAGCTGCTCATTACTTGCAGTTTAATGCTGATGAATCCTTACTCGGTTTTAAAATCCAGGCCGTTCCCCTGTCTTTACCCCAAAGCTCCTCTTCATGATCACACATGGAAAGCCTCTGAGAATGGTTACTCTGCTAGGCAGTGGATTTGGCAAATTGCCTTTCCTTCTTTTTTCAAGCAAAAAGTGTTTCTGCTGTGCCCTGGTTATCAAAGGATTAAGTGATGAGCACATAGCTGTCGTACAGCTTTGGAGTTTACGGAACTGTTAAAGAACATGGATCTGATCTTAGAATTATAGAATGGTTTGGGTTGGGAGGAACTTTAAAGATCATCTAGTACCAACCCCGCTCCACCTAGTTCTTGCACCTGTTGTTGGAAGAATGGATGGTTGATGTTAAATGGGAACAAAACCAAACTCTGTGCTTTTATAATAGATGGCTATCTAAAATAGTTGTGCATTAATCACATCCACCAAATATTCAAACGATGGAAGATGGCACACTGCAGCTGAAGTTATCCACTGTCTGTCTGCAACCTTTCTATCTCATTAGGTCATATAAAGTGTTGATAGTGTTTTGCCCTAGGAACTTCATACCAAAAAAAATTGGTAAAAGAAATTTCCTGAGGAGGAATAATTTTATTCCCTAATGAGTTGAGTAGACTCTTACTTATAAATTCACTGACAGTCATGAGAATTTCAGAGCTCATTCCCCTTGTTATCAGACCACAGGGTGAAGACTTGTAGTTTAGTGAAGAGAAAATAAAGGTTTGTAAACATTAATAATACCTGTTAATAAGACAAATAGTTTCATTAAGGGACCTGCTTCTCACAAATGTTGTAAGTAGTACAGAATTCAGATTATCTTAATTTGTAGTCACCTATGGGAAAATTTTTACAGTTTGGGGTTTTCCATATTGGTAGTTAACAACAAATTTGTTACCTGATAGGTATCAGTGTCATCCGGACAAATGACAAACTGCACATCTATCTTCCTCTCAGGGTGTGCCCTGGCAAAATTGAAAACCTCTTCAGTCATGATCTTTGCTACTGTATCAACAGGCAGCATTAATGACCAAATCCCATTTGCTGGAAAAGAAACTGAGGGACACTGCCAGTTCTCACAGTACTTCAGGCATTCTTTCATTCCAACTCTTAATTGCTGCAGGAAAAAAACAGTGGTTTAGCCCTCACATCACTCAACATGAAAATCAATTAAAATCCAGTCTAACTGGTCATTACCTCACACAGTAACACCCTGTGGCGGTATGGTGGCCATACAATGTGCAGTACAACCGCACAGGGCAGATGATACGGTTCTGTTACTATGAATTCCTTATAAGATGAAGAATATATAAGACGAGACTTCAGTTCATCCTGAAGAGCTGAACCTGCTTTTTGCAGCAATTGTTTTGAAACTGGAGAGTGACATTCGCCATCCACAGACACAGAACTAACAATAACTGAAGTCTGGAAGAAAAAAGAGTGCCAAGTTTCAGTATACTTCAAGTTTACTATTTGCAAGCTTTGCTACTATAGAGAGCACCCTTTCTAGAAATGATTCCTTTAAAAAAAGCCTGACTGCAGCAGATGGGCTATTTGAAAGGTTCTCTTACTACTTACTACTAAGGGCAGCAATGGAGTACATCAAACTACACACCTTCTAGTGGTAGTAGGTGCATATATTTTCTTCTGAAGCCAACAGCATGCATAAGACCTGTTCAAGTCATCAGAGTGTACTCAACAGAACTATTACCACAGCTATAGAAGTTATCCATACGTGCCTCATCAAATGCAATTCTGTAGCCAATTATCCATGAGCAGGAGAGAACTATAGCTGCTCTGTTATCCCAGCCCACACAAGATGCTCCTCATGTTAGGGCAGCAAGCACTTGTCACCAAACTAGCAGTGTCAGTGCACACAGGGTAACCACAAAGCTACAGCTGCTTCCAGTTCCCAGTGGAAAAAGCAGATTCCCATCGCAGGTCTTCTGTATTTCAAATTAAATAGGTAAAATGCAAAAAACTTGTTTACACAATGCTGAAAACAGCAGCAATTGTTCTAACATTAACTGCTGAAAATTATCTAAAGATACAAGACCTTGGAACACATCTTCCTCATAGTCTTGAAGGCATGTGGTAACTTTCCATGCTGTTGAATTGGTTAATAAAATTCCCCCCAATATCAACTTTGCAATCCTTTGCTCTCATGTCAAAAAAATGAACTTCCTATTCAGTTAAGATAATTCTTTAAAATAAAAGGCAAATGCCATTCCTGTGATATACCATCTAGTCTAAGAGCTCTGTTGGATTACTATGATTAAGCTCATATATTTTGCATCAGATTTTCTGGCTAAAAACTTAAATGAATCGATTCAAATGATGCACCGTTTAAAGATAAGGTGCACATCATCTGTGTAAGTTATTTTCAGCTGTTTCAGTGTTTGCTGAATAACTCCAGTAGTGGTATCTATGAGAACATGTATTATAAGAAAAAAGGAAGGCAAAAATTAAGAGTAGATTCTAGGGAATGCATGATAAAATGTGAACTCCTGTGATGTTATAAGAAGAAGATAAACATTAACATAGGGATATTATCTTTAGCTGCTTCCTATTATACCATAACAGCATGTATACAATAAAGAAATAAAAACATTCTAATATTTAATACCCATTCAGAAAAAAAACCCAACAATTCCTTGCTGCTATATTTACCATTTGTAAATTCTCATCAGGCTGAGAAGATAACTATTTAGTGGATTGATACAATATGTTTGAACTCTTGGTCTCCAAATCCTGTAAAGACTTGGAGGCAACTCCATGTTCAAAACATTATGGGACAGACCTACCTTCTGCTCTTCCAGGAGTCCTTGCATGATGCGCAAACGAATGCCTCCATGTTTCAGAAAAGCTGAAGGCTGGCTTAGGGAAGCTGAGTTAGCTTCCTGAAGTGAACTGGTATCACCCAGAAGCTCTTCACAGGCCTTCTTCATTGCTGCAACTGTAGGCTCATAAATGTTCACCAGGCGGATTTCACTGAGACAGCTTGGTGGACTTAACTCAAAAAATTCCTTTATAGTCATTACAATCACTTGAGCACACAGGCTGAGTGGGAAGCCAAAAATACCTGAACTCACTGCTGGGATAGCCACAGACTTTATAGCGTTTTCTGGAGCACTGACATACTTCAGAACATTCCTAATAGCTTCCTGAAGTTGGTCACAACATCTATCTTTTTCGTGAACAGTCCACTGTGGACCAACTGCATGAATAATTTTCTTACAAGGAAGCTTCCCTCCACTTGTCACTGCTATTTCGCCAGCTGTGAGTTTTCCATACTGTTGAACATAAAGATTGCTTTGCTCTTGTATCTCTGGCCCTCCAGCACTTACAAGGGCTAAAGCAAGGCCTCCTGCATGTTTCAGATGTTCATTTGCTGCATTCACCAAAGCATCAGCCTCGTGTCTTGCAAGATCATCCTTACAAACACAAATGTCAATTCCCTGTTTTAGTTTTATCCTGTATACTTCAACAGTGCTTTTTGTACTTTTGAAGGTCAATGTACAAGCAAACTTTTTCTGAATCAGATCACTTAGACAGTCCTCTCTTTTCTTAAGAACCTCATAGGCATCTTTATTGATAGGGATGATCAAGCTGTCCTTAGCCATTACCATGACTGGCCCTAGGATACAAAAGAATATAAAGTGAAATTCAAGATATTAGTCAAAACATTGCTTTTTATATAGAAGTGTGATTTATAGCTCTCAATTTTATCCTACTGTCATTACTTAGCAATATTTTTTGGCACTGTCTGATCTTCTCTGTCTCCTTTTCATAGGCTGAGAAAGCCCAACTAAGCAAAGAAAGGCACTAAAAGATGGTAACACCAGTATCACTGAGCCTGTGGTGACTTGAGGGTTTGGATTTACCTTACTGTTTACCTGAGGAGGAAGCTTGGTTAGGATATGTCTCCTCCTCCTACTTGTTCTCTCTGTCTTTCCTACTGCTTAGTGTCCCCACCCTTAGGCTGACACAACCATTGTTGGGGACATAATCTTAAATGAATCAGTGACATAATCTGAATTTAAAAAAACCCCAAAACAAACAAAAACCAAAACCCACACCACAAAACTTATTTTAGAGCACCAACCTCAAAGACTGATGCAGCAGCACAACTGAATGGTCTGAGAATAAACAATGAGAATGAGTAAAAAGGAGCAGACAAGTGTAAGCAGAACATCTTTGAAACAGATGCCGTCATAGGGCTTTGTTAACTGGCTGCAGTGCCACAGCGATGCTGTGCTGCATTTGCCAGTAAAACTCCAGCTGAGAAAGCAAATGTGAAAAGCCATGCCATAATCAGGGCTTCAAAATGCTTGTAAAAGCACAAAATACCACTTCTCCTCCTCTGAGCTTGTTTTGCTGAGAGGGGTAAAGCCTGCCTCTGCCCTCTCCAGGACATTCTAAGCATTTTGTTACCCATTTCCAGCAAGGTCCCAGGGTGAGCATCCCAGGCCTTTGCAGAGTCACTGATTCACACCCCCACGCTGGCAGAGGAACACCTGCCAATACACTCATTTAACCGTGTCACAGAGATCCACTGGCTGCAAGAGATCTTATGCTGAGTTTTGTCATTAATTCATTGGCTCTTCTTTGGTCTGCATTTAAAGCCCACAAGCAAATTCTTTGTATGGAACTTAGGAATTCAGAATAGCTTTTTAAATCACTTTTTTTTGGCAACAAAAATAATGGTAAGGAGCGGGGCAGTTTTTATACTATCCCTATGGCTACACAGCCCTATCCTGGCAGATGTCAGCAGTACTATATGCAGTAGTTATGTTAATTAGTGTAAATCCACTTGTATGAGTTTAATCGAGCTTTTCTCTGGGATGTGTTATCTGCTTGTAAAAAGTTTAACACTGATTCATCAAAACACTTCTGAGCTCTTACTTTTAAAAGAGAAATTCAAGCGAATCTTGTTGAAGCAATGAATAATAATGTTGATTCATAACTGTGTCTAATTCATACATTTCAGGTTTCTTTCGGCTATTCCACGTTGATGTTTTCCAGTGTGCTGGCTGTAGCTGGCAATTTTCAATTTAAATACCGGACTACACTTTGCAGATGCTAAATGAGAGACTTACCAAAACTGCTTTTCTTTTTCGAGGTCCCGGGACTGTAACTCTGTTGTAAAAGTAAAAAAGAGAGAATACACGTTATTGCCTGATGGGCTGCGTTCCCACAGGGGCAGCTCTGTTACAAGCAAAACCGGCAGCAACACCTTTTCAAAAATCAGTATGAAGCTTTATAATATTTAGTATGAAGCTTTATAATATTTAAAACGCTGTTCAGAGCTGAAATTACGGTTGACGGGACCACCGCGGGGGAAGTTGAAGAAGTTGAAGCAGCAGCCCCACAGCTGACCTGCGGGCGGTGAGAAGCCGGGAAATTTTACCCCGTCCCGAGCGCCAGGCCAGAGAACTGCACTGTCCCCCCCGGCAGCGCCCGAGCAGCGGGGTGCGCGGAGCCCCGCG